TTAGCAAGGTCGATTTTACTGTTTTAAACTACAATTCTCCATGATTTTCTTTTGTACATTCATATCTGCTCGATGCGTATACAAAGGTAAACAAATGACGTCACACATTATGAAATGGACAAAGTCCGACAATTATTTTAAGACATTTTTTATAAACATAATATAAAATATTTTCATAATATATATATATATATATATATATATATTTCCCCTATCCCTTGCAGTTCTCAATAAGTTTTGTCTTTTTGCTACTTCTCCCAGACTGTGTTCTGCCATCCATTTGTTTAATCCCACTATGTCACGTGTTGAGTTACTTTGTTCCTCTTTCCCTTTGTCCCTGTGAGTATCAGTTTCTTCAAGCTTTCCTTTCTCACTACGTGTCCCAGAAATTTCAGCTGCCTCTTCCTGATGTTAGTTATATGTTTCCTCTTTGTTTGTATCTTCTCCAATATCTTATTTTTGCTCACATGTTCCGTCCATGGTATCCTCAGTATCCTTCTGTACAATCATACCTTCTTCCTCTTTGAGGAGACTGTCCATCATTCTCTACCGTAAAAGAGGATACAAATAACGTAGCAGTATAGTATTCTTTTCTGGAGGAGGTTTTTTAATTTCGTTTCCATGTCTGCTATCAGAACTATGTCATCTGCGTATCTTATATTGTTAAGATTGTGAACGCCAATAATGAATCCTGGTAGGATTTCCAGTTCTCTCATAATTTACCTCGCTGTTGAATGAGTCCGGTAAGAAGACTCTCTCTCTCTTTCTATTTCTCTTACTCTCTCTCTCTCTCTCTCTTACTCTCTGTCAGTGAGATTAAAAATCTGATGCTTCAATTTATTGCACTTTACTGTATTCTGTTTAAAAAAACTTTCTTTTAGGAAAAACATTAGGCGTCTTCACGTTCAATTCATTCATGATTCTTAATGCACATTATATAATATTCAGATGATCCATCACTTATTAATTTGATGGCTAATTTTTTTCCCCTATCTCCGCTGAACATTTCCTATTCAAACGTCGCAATATCATTTGGAGACTGACACTTTAGATACTCTCGGGCATACAAGTTAGGCTGCCTGTTGCCTCCAGAGATAGCTTAATCTTATCTCCTTTCAGAAAATTTAATATTTTCTTTTATTTTCCACTTTAATTTCATACACTGAGATTTTGAAAATAAGAATAAAAACCCGAAAAAAGAATGAAATAAACAAAAATAAATTTCTTCCCGTTGCAAATGTATAAATAAATGAACACTAAGACAAATATAGACATTTATATAATGAAGTTCAGTTTTGTAAAAATCTACAAGAAAAGGATACACAGTGAGGATCCGCTTGGCTTTGTTGTTTTTGATTCATCCTTTTCTGATGAAAGAACATCGCAGAAGTCATGCTAATTAGTTTTTAATAATTTCACCCAAAGCAAGACAATAGAGCTATGAGTTAATAAGCGTGACAAAAATAAAAAGAGAAAACGTTTCGGAGGAGAATACGCTTGCAGTTATTACGCACCGGCTAAAATAAGAGCTATCAAGTTGACAGAGCCGGAAAAGTGATTCCCCGTTCACTACAGCGGGTGGAAAGGCAGGTGTGAACCAAGGAAAAAAAAGATTGTGAATGACAGTTTTCAACCAAGAAGAAACGTCAAGGTCACAATTTTCACTCCAATGAAGACCGCGAAGAAAACTGCTAAATGAATCCCAATCGATATAAAGTGTTGGTCATGATAGGTTCCTACCTAATAGACAAATCAAAAACATATCCACAGATACTACAGCATGATCCGAACTGCCAATGTGTGAAAAGTGTCCGGAAAAAGAGTTAAGGAACAAATCGAATACAGAAACGTGTTGTTCAGAATTATTTGGGCAGTGAGTCCCTCCTAAATTGAAAGACTGAATACTGGTGTAATCAGAAAAATGAAGCCACTTGACATGATGTGTATTAAAATCGCCATGCACAAAGATATTCGCTGGTGAAGAGGGAGCCATTTCGCTACTATCAGTGATTTCGTCTAACATCCCGAGAAGAATGGGGTGAAGCAAATAGATTACAGTTTAATATCGAAAGTACACAGATCGTGAAAAATCATGTGGATTTAAGAAGCAATTCCGTGACCAGTGGGGGACTTCATTTCGAAATGATATCTCTCAATGGTCATGAAATATTTACTCTCACAGCTACCTTCCACCAAATATATGCATATGAACCTAGAATTGTTTCGATAAAGCGGAAGATAAACTGGATTTAGTGGTGAAGATAGAAGATTTTAATTTAGTTTTACATGGCGCTAAGATATCTGGATACAGAAATTGGTACGGATACCTGTCTATATTTCTGAGATGAGGTATTATGTACATTATTTACATTATTCGGACTATTGTTCTAATCTTTGTCGCCATATTCATTACAAAGATTCGGCCGTTGTACGCTTCGGCCTTATTCAGGTGGTTGGAATTTCGAACTGAACCCTTTATTTCGCTCACTGGGGTAGACTGTTCTAGTTCCACGTGCCATGTTTAATGAATCTCACTTATCAGTTATCTCCTGTTAATTTCCCTCTGATAGTTCTCCACTGCTTTAACCGGATATTGAACTCACATCCTTTGGGTCCTGTCACTGGATCTAACCAACGCCTTTATCCACTATGCCATGTGGACATCTGTGTATGAATTTCTGGGTATTATAAACCTAATATCTTGAGAAACCATTTTTACCAGTGCTCATATTGCAATTTTTGGCTGTTATCATCTCATGTTTTTACCAGAGCTCATATTGCAACTTTTGTTGTTATTATCGCTTTTCTCTGGCACTCCTTATTACTGGTTCCCATATTGTATTCATTTCTATGCTTGGTCGGCTCAGAAGATTTTTGTGGTCTAGCATATGAGCAGGTTCCTTAGGTTTACGAATTTTCCAATAGTGTTCCTTGTCTAATATCTCAACCTGATCCCACAGAGGGCGGTGATTTCCCTCCTCTCTCCATATGTGGTCAGCCACGCCTGATTCTTCCACTTTCCCTCGTGTTAAAGCTTTCTGGTGTTCTTGAAGCCTTACCTTGAGTGGGTGGACTGTCTCCCCTTTATATTTCTTTCCGCAGCTGCACGGGATAGCGTACACACAGTCTTTAGTTCAATGGAGAAAAAAGGTTGAAGGGTTAAGGTGATTTTTTGTAAAATGTTTTAATTCTATTAATTTTAATCATTGCAGTCAAACGAAATATTGGGCTTAAATAGTAAAAAAATAATTGTCAATGTCCTTTGACTTAAGGTGGAATAAACTGTCTGGAAGGTGGCTATGACAGTAGGGTGTCCATCAGAAGTGCTTACAAGGACACCTACCCATGAGCGGTATAGCGATTTAAAAACCCGCTATTATGTTAGTCTACGCAATTATCAAAACATTTCTCTTAGGTAAGCCATTGTGAATGGTCTGCATTCGGAAGCACATGAGATCAACGTAGGTGTTTCCCAATGATCGCCCTCATCCTCCTACATCCTATGAACGACCTTCCTCTGCATATCCTCAGATTATAAGTAAGCATCTATACAGGTGACCTTACAATTTACAGGAGAACGTCCAAAAATCTGTGCGTGGTAGATCATCGCTCATCTGACTTAGCTGAGAGATGGTTGAGGGGGAAATTGTCTCCTTATATTAGTGTCGTATCTCGAATCTTCGTCACCATTTTTGTATCTCGTGTTTTCGAGATAACAAGGGGAAATAAATAAGGAAGACAAAGGTCGTAGGTAAGTAATGAAATAGAAGGTTTACACGAAGGTAGACTTAGCAAGTGACCTAATAGTATTTACCAGAGCTCCCCAAAGAGCTAGATGGCACAAAGCCGATTTAACGTGGGATTACGAGCCCGTAGGTCCAGGAAAAATTCCCCGCAGACCCCGTAATAACGGGGTCGGGTTTGTCTGCCTCCTCAGACGAGACTCTGCCCTTCGACATAGCGTTGCCTGATTTCCTCTCTGCCTAAATGCAGAGTGTTCGACAAATAGTGAGAGCTTAGTGTGAGGCTAAGACAATGCTAACTCTGGTCAACTCAGCTTAACTCAGCTTAACTCAGCTTATTTACATAAACTAAAAAGATTCTATTCATTTATGTTCTATATGACAATTAGTAAGCATTTTTGTAAATAAGATCACAGTTTTGGAGAATCAATTTCAAGAATCAAGAAGACCCATAGTTGAGTATGAAAATTGCTTTATACTTTTCAGTACCTCAAACACATATCTAGTATAATTTCATCACCGATCAGGCCTTGAAGCTTCTTCATGAAAGTCTACACTATATCAATGAAGCTTACTTAATGATTCATACATCTCTTGAGTCTCGCGTTCAGTCAAGACTAGAAGCAGAATTTCGTAATCACAATTAGAATCATCCAACTCTTTCCAAATCCTCTGCACTGTCTTCAGACTGACACCAAAACATTCTGAAATGTTCATATCGGAGCTTTCGATGCGAATGCCAAGCAATACAGCATGCCATTTCAAAATTTCTGGCGGAGTGAATTGCGCCATGATGTTCTTTTTCTCACAGACGGTGGCCATCTGTCTCTCCTATACTGTGCTTTCGACAAAACCAAAAACAAACAACGCGCATGCACGAAATTAAAATATAACAGTTTACTCTTCACTCCGTGTACATGCTACAAAGTGTTTGGGTACATAAGTAAAATAAATGCAGTTATATTTCATTCATTTTCTCCGGCTTATTAAACCTTTGCTTGTTATTTAAATCAGAAAATATTTTGATACTGTTAAGAATCTTTGTGGAGATAATAATGATTCTAGTGATAAATGTCCTACGAATTAACCCATAGGTGGGGGTAAAGAAGTGGGTTCATGCCTTTTCCAAAAGTATTTGCTTGTAAGTGTTATAATTTATTTGATGAATATAACGAACCCATTCGGGATTGGAACTCGGCTCTCCGATTAACAATTCCGGGCCATTATCCATTATACCCCTAGCACATCCAAGCTTAGAGCATCTGGTATTCCTAAGCGCTCACCCATCTAATTACTGGTAAGGCTCAACGTGGCTTAACATCGGTGATCGTACGCGAACCGGTGTTTCAACGTGATTAAGCGAAAGCCATTTATATTTGAAAATTATCTCAGCAAGCTCAACTACATAATTGGCCTGGCGTCCGTTAAAGATATACAGAAAATAGGATCTCTGGAGGTATAACGTCTTCATTTGGCATTTCCAAATCTATTAGGATTTAAGTGTCTTTTTACTTGTCGACATATGGCGAAATTCTCATGAAATTTCCTACGAGATGAATTTCAACCTATTAATCTGGAACATAAACGAGATGAATGTACCAACCAACCAATCTGGAACACAAACGTTGGGTTGCTATCTGGTTTCGCAATATAAAGTAGCAAATGAATTAACAGGCCATGAACATGTATTGTTCAATACAATAACGACTGAAATCGATATTTGCTTTGTCGGCCATTGTAGATAATGTATGTGAGCTTTGGCAGCTTGTTTAAACTTAGAGTGAAATCATTTTCACTCTATATCAGTGCCTACGTTTCGTTATTTTCCGTAATGTAATGGTTACTGTACTGTACTGTACTGATGCGGCATTCACCCTGGACGGATTGAGCCGGCTTCTTCCTGTCATGAGAAGAAGATTCTTGAGATAAATTACAGAAGTAGGGTACCCAGGCCTACTCGAATAACGTTCATGCTTGCCGCGGGATTCCCACAGACGCAGACAGGAACGACCAGAAGCCGCCGGTTACCGATGCAGACGCTCCTTGGATTTTCACCAGAGCCCTTGTTAGCCGGCGTGTGTGTCAGACCTGTCCGCCTTGGGTGGCCCTACCAGGAACGAAGTTCCGGGCGGCATAGCTCTGACACTACCGTTTACCCCCACCCCCCACCGACTGTGAGGTAAGGGTTGGACTTTGGGGGCTTATAGTACCAGGTGTTCCCAAGCGGTCCCCCATCTAAGTACTGACCTGGCTCTACGATGCTTAACTTCGGTGATCGAACGAGAACCGGTGTTTCAGCGTGATTTGACCGTAAGCCAATGTAATGGTTAGCAAGCTTATCGAGCAAGATCGATTACAAAAGAGTCGTAAGTTTGCCATTGGCAGCTCCGTACATTCGGCCTTAGACGATCAGTAAATAGTTACATTGGTGTTCATATCTATTTCAATATTTCATTCTCAGCCTGTCTATCTATCTCAGGCTGTTATATCTATTTCAGTATTTAAAGGCTTTTATCATGCTACCTATTTAGAAAAAGTAGGCACTGAGAGGCTAGATCACTATATCAATGTCCATATCTATCTTAGTCTCTTCACGTCTATCTATTTATCTGTCTCAGGCTGTTCTTATATATTTCATTTTTAAAAGGTTACGAGATGATAACATCAAAATTGACGATATTTAAATGAAAAATACATAAGAAAATAATGATTGTTTCGAAGTAAAGACAAACGCTGTTAGTGAATGGCCTGATTTCGCTTGAAGGCGTTTATGGGATTTGTTAAAATTTCTCAAATTATTTCTCAAATAATTTTAATTCAAAATTTAAACTGGAGGATAAAGCCCACGCACATCTTCTACAGTCACTTACGACGCAAATATCTCTGTCTTTATGGATAATGATGTATTGTTCATGGCCTGCTTGTTAATTCATTTGCCCAAGGATAAAATACTGACCTGCGATAAGAACTAAACGTTAGTGGAGAAGAATTTTTATCTCAATATTCCATGCCTTAAGCGAATCTATTCCTATCGTGATTAAAATCGTATCAATTTGACACTTTATCTTGTGAAGCAAATTTTCTGCTTCAGTCGTTTTTCTGATCGACCAGTTTCAAACGATCCTAACATCCTGGAAGCCTTAGGATTTACAATGTGCATTTCCTTTATATTTGGATAGGATCAAATTTTACTGTGGATCGTCTTATGAAAGTTGAATGTCAAGTACAACGCTACATGATTTCCTTTGAAGGCATTTATAGAATTTGAGAACATTTCTCAAATAATTTTAGTTCAAAATTTATACTGAAGGATTAAGCACACACACACGCACACAGAAACACATATACAAACACACAAATAGTCACCAAAATATCTCTTTTCCGTGTTTATCGATAATGTAGAATATATTAGGTTCCAGATAATGCCAAAATAAACTCTTACCATTTATTGGGCGTCGGAGAAGAAAGGTGCATGGTTAACCCGAAAGTGATAAGCCCTACCCTCACTGGTGAGTGCAGACGGTGTCATGATTGGGTCTAAAATATACACGCCTGGGAAATAACGATATGACAGATCGAGATATAAAGGCAGAGGTAAAAAGATCTGACATATTTGTAGGTTTACTAAAAGAAAATTAGAGTAAACAGCGACAAATGTGTTTTTATTTTCAAAATGTACATATATATTATATTATATTCAACTTTAATACTTATCTACTGTTCTCCTGATTAATCTTTAATCTTCCCGCTCATTATTAATGTTTCTGTTCCTAATTCTACCACGCCCAGTAACCTTTTGTATTTTAGAGGCTTTAATCCCTTGCCAAAATTTAAATGGAATGTCAATCGCTATCTACCTTCCTCCTGATCACTCTTTCCTCTTCCCGCTTATTATTAATGTTTCTGTTCCTAATTCTACCACGCCCAGTACCCTTTTGTATTTTAGAGGCTTTAATCCCTTGCCAAAATTTAAATGGAATGTCAATCGCTATCTACCTTCCTCCTGATTACTCTTGCCTCTTCCCGCTCATTATTAATGTTTCTGTTCCTAATTCTACCACGCCCAGTAACCCCTTGTATTTTAGAGGCATTACACCCTTGCCAAAATTTAAATGGAATGTCAATCGCTATCTACTCTCCGCCAGATTTCTCTTCCCTCTTCCCGCTCATTATTAATGTTTCTGTTCCTAATTCTACCACGGCCAGTAACCCCTTGTATTTTAGAGGCTTTATCCCTTGCCAAAATTTAAATGGAATGTCAATCGCTATCTACTGTCCTCCTGATTACTCTTTCCTCTTCCCGCTCATTAATCATGTTTCTGTTCCTAATTCTTCCACGCCCAGTAACCCTTTGTATTTTAGTGGCTTTAATTTCTTGCCAATATTTAAATGGAATGTCAATCGCTATCTAATTTCGTCTTGATTACCTTTCATTTTTCCCGCTCATTATTAATATTTCTGTTCCTAATTCTACCACGCCCAGTAACCCTTGTATTTTAGTGGCTTTAATTTCTTGCCAATATTTAAATGGAATGTCAATCGCTATCTAATTTCGTCTTGATTACTCTTTCATTTTCCCGCTCATTATTAATGTTTCTGTTCCTAATTCTACCACGCCCAGTAACCCCTTGTATTTTAGTGGCTTTAATTTCTTGCCAATATTTAAATGGAATTTAAATTTCGTCTTGATTAATGTCAATGTTTCGCTATCTAACCCCTTGTATTTTTCCTCAATATTTAAATGGAATGTCAATGATTAAATTCGTCTTGATTACTCTTTCATTTTCCCGCTCATTATTAATGTTTCTGTTCCTAATTCTACCACGCCCAGTAACCCCTTGTATTTTAGTGGCTTTAATTTCTTGCCAATATTTAAATGGAATGTCAATCGCTATCTAATTTCGTCTTGATTACTCTTTCATTTTCCCGCTCATTATTAATGTTTTCTGTTCCTAATTCTACCACGCCCAGTAACCCTTGTATTTTAGAGGTTTACTCCTTGCTAAAATTTAATGGAATGTCAAACGCTATCTACTGTCCTCCTGATTACTCTTTCCTCTTCCCGCTCATTAATCATGTTTCTCATTAATCTTTGTATTTTATGTTAATTTCTGTTCCCCCTGATTACTCTTTCATCTTTCCGCTCATTATTAATGTTTCTGTTCCTAATTCTACCACACCCAGTAACCCCTTGTATTTTAATCCCTTGCCAAAATTTAAATGGAATTCAATCGCTATCTACTGTCCCCTGATTACTCTTTCATCCCGCTCATTATTAATGTTTTGTTCCTAATTCTACCACGCCCAGTACCCCCTTGTATTTTAGAGGCTTTATCCCTTGCCAAAATTTAAATGGAATGTCAATCGCTTCTACTGTCCCCCCTGATTACTCTTAATCATTAATCATGTTTCTGTTCCTAATTCTACCACGCCCAGTAACCCTTGTATTTTAGTGGCTTTAATTTCTTGCCAATATTTAAATGGAATGTCAATCGCTATCTAATTTCGTCTTGATTTCTTTCATTTTCCGCTCATTATTAATGTTTCTGTTCCTAATTCTACCACGCCCAGTAACCCCTTGTATTTTAGAGGCTTTACTCCCTTGCTAAAATTTAATGGAATGTCAATCGCTAAAATGATTGCTCTTTCATCTTTCCGCTCATTAATCATGTTTCTGTTCCTAATTCTGTAACCCCTTTTTAATTTCTTGCCAATATTTAAATGGAATGTCAATGTCTAATTTCGTCTTGATTACTCTTTCCTCTTCCCGCACATTATTAATGTTTCTGTTCCTAATTCTTCCACGCCCAGTAACCCTTTGTATTTTATAGGCGTTAATCCCTTGACAAAATTTAAATGGAATGTCAATCGCTATCTACTGTCCCCCTGATTACTCTTTCATCCCCCATTATTAATGTTTCTCTAATTCTACCACGCCCTCAGGCTTTACTCCTTGCTAAAATTTAAATGGAATGTCAATCGTATCTACTGTCCTCCTGATTACTCTTTCCTCTTCCCGCTCATTAATCATGTTTCTGTTCCTAATTCTTCCACGCCCAGTAACCCTTTGTATTTTAGAGGCGTTAATCCCTTGACAAAATTTAAATGGAATGTCAATCGCTATCTACTGTCCCCCTGATTACTCTTTCATCTTCCCGCTCATTATTAATGTTTCTGTTCCTAATTCTCATTTTAATCTAAAATTTAAATGGAATTCAATCGCTATCTACTTCCCCTGATTATTCTTCCCGCTCATTAATCATGTTTCTGTTCCTAATTCTTCCACGCCCAGTAACCCTTTGTATTTTAGAGGCGTTAATCCCTTGACAAAATTTAAATGGAATGTCAATCGCTATCTACTTTGATTACTCTTTCATCTTTATTAATGTTTCTGTTTAATAACCCCTTTGTATTTTGCTTTACAAAATTTAAATGGAATGTCAATCGCTATCTACTGTCCTCCTGATTACTCTTTCATCTTTCCGCTCATTATTAATGTTTCTGTTCCTAATTCTACCACGCCCAGTAACCCCTTGTATTTTAGTGGCTTTAATTTCTTGCCAATATTTAAATGGAATGTCAATCGCTATCTAATTTCGTCTTGATTACTCTTTCATTTTCCCGCTCATTATTAATGTTTCTGTTCCTAATTCTATTATCTTGTCCCCCTGATTACTCTTTCATCTTCCCGCTCATTATTAATGTTTCTGTTCCTAATTCTACCACGCCCAGTAACCCCTTGTATTTTAGAGGCTTTACTCCCTTGCTAAAATTTAAATGGAATGTCAATCGCTATCTACTGTCCTCCTGATTACTCTTTCCTCTTCCCGCTCATTAATCATGTTTCTGTTCCTAATTCTTCCACGCCCAGTAACCCTTTGTATTTTATAGGCGTTAATCCCTTGACAAAATTTAAATGGAATGTCAATCGCTATCTATCTGTCCCCCCTTGTATTTTGATTACTCTTTCTGTCCTCTGATTACCCTTTCCTCTTTCCGCTCATTAATCATGTTTCTGTTCCTAATTCTACCACGCCCAGTAACCCCTTGTATTTTAGTGGCTTTAATTTCTTGCCAATATTTAAATGGAATGTCAATCGCTATCTAATTTCGTCTTGATTACTCTTTCATTTTCCCGCTCATTATTAATGTTTCTGTTCCTAATTCTACCACGCCCAGTAACCCTTTGTATTTTAGAGGCGTTAATCCCTTGCCAAAATTTAAATGGAATGTCAATCTCTATCTACTGTCCTCCTGATTACTCTTTCCTCTTCCCGCACATTATTAATGTTTCTGTTTCTAATTCTACCACGCCCAGTAACCCCTTGTATTTTAGAGGCTTTACTCCCTTGCCAAAATTTAAATGGAATATCAATCGCTATCTACTGTCCTCCTGATTACCCTTTCCTCCTCCCGCTCATTATTAATGTTTTTGTTCCTAATTCTACCACGCCCAGCAACCTTTTGTGTTTTAGAGGCGTTACACCCTTTGACAAAATTTAAATGGAATGTCAATCGTTATCTACTGTCCTCCTGATTACTCTTTCCTCTTCCCGCTCATTATTAATGTTTCTGTTCCTAATTCTACCACGCCCAGTAACCTTTTGTGTTTTAGCGACTTTACTATCTTTCATGTGGTGATACCGATTAAAAATATCTACGTATTTTAATTTTCTGTATAAATGGTAAGAATTTAAATGAAATACATTTATTTCCCACTATCTTTTACATGTCTTAATATTACAACATTAATAAATTCCACTCTGCTAAAGAATTTTGTCTCTTCTATCTTTGAAATGTTTAATGGAAACAAAATATTGTTCAGTTTTCATGGGAAACTTTTGGCGCCAAAGTGATTTGTAATTAATTCTTTCTTCTTTCCACAACTTTTATATTTTTCATGTTCACATCATAAATGACAGCAGAAGTTCTAAAAAAAATATTGTGAAAAAACTTTAATTCCGAGATTCCTTTCTGAAATACAAACTGTATATTCTTGCAAATAATCCAATATTGTACAAACCTATATATAGGCGAAAGTAATAAGATTTTGCGTTAATCAATAATGGAAGCTAGAAATGACATTAAACAGAAGCAGGCGTTACAAGAAGAAGAGAAAATCGATCGGTGAATATATAGTGAATTGCGTGTTATTTTATCGAAAGAAAACCTTTTGAAGTTTCCGATGAATATTTAGAACCTTAATCGGTACATTTCGTTAAACGTCGCAAATTACCACTTCCGACGTGGGAAGTTCAAATTAAGACGCAAACTCATTCAGAAATACAATGAGAGCAGGAAAAAGCTAGATGGCGTCGTAAGAATTTGGCGCGCAAACCTATTTGTAACAGGTTTTGCCAACATCTTTCTGATAATATTGAGAAAATGATTTCAAAGCTCATCAAATGTTTAAAGTGAAAAACAAGTCAAACTTTCAAGTTAATAATTGACAATGAATTTATATCAGTTGGATCAGTTTCAAGCGCACGCATGGAATCACACACGCTCATATATATATATATATATATATATATATATATATATATATATATATATATATATATATATATATATAAGGCTCAAACACTAATATCAATGGATCGTGATTACGATTTCAATGTAATAAATTATAACCATGGAATTTTAGTGTTTGAGCTTTTTTATATTATATTCCTACTGTGTCCTGGACATTGAGTTTACCTGGATTCTATCCTTTTATATATAATTTATATATATATATATATATATATATATATATATATATATATATATGTGTGTGTGTGTGTGTGTGTGTGTGTGTGTGTGTGCATTGACCACGAACATTATCTATCTATCTATCTATCTATCTATCTATCTATCTATATATTATTATTATTGTTATTATAGATTATAATAAAAACATTTTACATCGCTACAAGATTTTGTTAAGAAAATCACAGCAAATATCGATATATGGTCTCCCGAAAATCCATAAAGAAGGTGTACCATTGCGACCGATTTTATCTATGATCGGTTCAGCCCAACACAAGGTAGCCCAATTGCTCTCCACACTTTTGGATCCTGTGTTGCAGTGCTTGGATGGATTTTGTATAAAGGATTCCTTTTCCTTTGTCGACCGCGTTCGAAATTTGTCTTCTTCTGGTAAGTTCATGTGCTCTTTTGATGTCTGTTCTCTGTATACTTGTGTCCCTCTAATGGAAACCATCGATATTTGCTGTGATTTTCTTTATCGCAGTTCATTGACTCCACCTAGTATTCCTGAGTCAATATTTTGTGAATTGATGAAATTTGCCACGTCCTCCGTCGAATTTAGTTTCAATAACACCATGTAACGACAGATTGACGGAGTTGCTATGGGCTCGCCTTTGGGTCCGGCACTTGCCAACATATTTGTTGGCTTTCACGAAGAAAAGATACGAAAGAGTCCACTTTGTCCTCAAATATATTGTCGGTATGTTGATGATACCTTTTGTTTATTCAACAGTGATGTTGAGGCTGATCAGTTTCTTTCGTTTTTAAATGGTATCCATCCAGCACTGAGGTTTACTGTTGAGAAGGAATCCAATCTTCAATTGTCCTTTTTCGATGTATTAGTACATCGTACATTAACAGGTTTTCTCACTTCTGTTTATAGAAAACCTACTTTCGCAGGGTTGTATACGCGTTGGGACTCTTTTTGTCCCACTAAGCGCAAGATTAACATTATTAATACCCTCCTACATAAACAAATTTCATCCAATGTTCGTCGATGTTTTTTCTCTGCTGAAGTTCGGATTATTTTTCAAACTTGGCCTATGTTTCGTTCTGCGTGTAAAGACGTTCTCCCTCCCCACTAAATTAATTCAATTATTTACAAATACGTTTGTAGTTGCGGAGCCGACTACATAGGGAGAACAACTCAACGCTTAGACATGAGAATAAAACAACGCGTTCCTACAAAAATTAGAAACCACACCTTGCCTTTGAATGGACTCGTCCCGAACACCTATAGTTTCGCCATATGGGAACACCTATTAAAGAACAGAGATTGTGCAGCCAAAATTAGTGCTGACTGGTTCAGTCTGAAGTTGGATGTCCGGCTGACCGGCTGATCGGTTGAACTCTCAGCCTTCGGGTGGGGAGGGACTCGAACGAGTCTACGCCGAAGGGCGGGGTCTCTTTCGGGGAGGTAAACCGACCCTGAACCCGTTTATACGGTTCAAAGGGCATATTTTTAGCCGAGCCCACGGGCTCGGAGACCCCACGTTAGACCGGCCTTGTGCCACATGATGCCCTCGTGGGGGGGTGACTAAATACTAGTGCTGACTGATTCACCGTGTTGTCCCGGTCTCACTCTTAATTTCATCTAAAGTTTCTGGAGGCACTTTACATCGGGTCCCATAAGCCTTCTTTGTGTAAACAACGTGAGTGTTTGTTGGAGCTCGCTGTCATTTGCCTCTAGTTCCTTTTTGCTATTTTTTTTTTACAAATTTCTTTTATTGTACATTTATCTGTGTTAATTTTAAATCTCCCGTTGAAGCCTGAAGAGCGGGGAGCGAAACCAGATTGCTTCGCCCGTTTTTAATATGTCTCGTAATATTAAGTTTTATACTTTAATTTCGATCATTAAATTTTGTACCTACAAAAATATCTTTATATATATATATATATATATATATATATATATATATATATATATATAATTAAACATAAGGGTTTCAGTATTTTAAACAGAGAGCCCTTTTCTGTTCATGAAACTGTATGCATGATGCCTATTGGCCTGCTACAACGAAACAACATAGTAAAGAATATGCGTGCCTCAAAAATGATTTATCGTATACGCAAGCTGATTGTTGTAATAAACACAGTTTATTAAATAAAAATGTGTCATCTATTTCAAATCTGAATTCACCACTAAAATAACGTTTGTAGTTATAAAATATTAGATTGAAAATAAATCTGTTATTTCTTCAATGGCACCGTCTAATATATCACTTTCGAATACAGATAATTTAAACGCCTTGCCATGAAAAGCATCACATTCACACACTCACCATATGGAAGAACACAATTGGTGCAGCTCTGAACATTAAATTAATTAAATTAAATGCCACTATCTACTGTTAACATTAAATACTGCTCTCACATGGCGTGTGTATAAGACAAATATAGCTAGAATATAAAAAAGGTTTAATCTGTTATTCATGGATTGATTAACAGATAGATAGATAAATAGATATGGAAAAACCGATAAAGATAGATAGATAGATAGATAGATAGATAGATAGATAGATAGATAACAAACACATTGAGATAGACAGATAGATAAAGATATTGAGATAAATAGACAGACATACAGATAGATAGATAGATAGATAGATAGATAGATAGATAGATAGATAGATATGAATATTCTCACATTGATAACGAAGGGATTGAGATAGATATAAACAGACCAGATAGATAGATAGATAGATAGATAGATAGATAGATAGATAGATATGAATACACTGACATAGAAAATGAAGAGACTGAGATAGATAGACAGATATGAATACACTGACATAGAAAATGAAGAGACTGAGATAGATAGATAGATAGATAGATAGATAGATAGATAGATAGATAGATAGGTTCCAACTGATATACAGCCAGGCAAACATTATTAATAACAGCGAGTAGATATACATTATTTATGATGCAATATACTGTTTATATGAAAATTGATGGAAACCATTCAATATTTCCGATCTTTATGTTTCTAAGTTTTCCAGGATCAGATTTAGAGGATAATTGTCCTGTATTAATTTCAACTTATATTATCTCTCATTTACGAAGTATTTGAAAACAATATTTCTTGAAATACTTTTTTCTAAAGCAACGCGAGGCCTGCTCATAGTCTTGCTATAAAGAAATCTATAAATTTACTTTCAGAAATAGAGAAATTGTGAAATGAAAAAAAAGCTATAACCTCAAGTGAGATTAGACGAAAGAGAAAACTTATTTCTTGATTGAAAATCAACTTTGGAAATTACAAAAATTATTGAACAGAGAATACAGAAAACTATGTGGAAAATATTGGAGATATTGGAATAGGAAGAAGAAATGGACTTAAAACGTCAAAAAAGAAGACTTCAGAAATCTCAAAATACAAAGCTTTCAGAAATGTTTAAAAAAATGCGAGAAAAGTGGATTGGAAAGCAAGAAAAATATTCCAAAGAAGTAAAGAAATGCATCAGATGCAGTTCTTTGAATATTAACAAATGTCATAATAGCAAATAGCAAGCATAAACACGACAAACGTATTTATTGAGAGCAGAAGTACATGAACGTAGATTTCTTAAGAGTAACTTTTACTGATTAATGCAGAGCTGCAATGGATGAGTCCAGCAACTAAACTAGATTGTATGTTCTTCATTGAAAGAGTCAAAATACAAGATTATGAAGAAAACAAATTTGATAATAGTAATTATAGTGATGTATGCAGAGACATATTGGATGAATCTGACAACTAATCTAGATTGTGTATCCTTCATTGAAATAGTCAACCTACACGATTAAGAAGAAAACAATTTTAATAATCGTAATTTTAGAGATGGATGCATAACTACATAGAATGAGTCTGACAACTAAATTAGATTGTGTGTCCTTCACTGATATAGTCAACTTACAAGATTAAGAAGTGAAACAGTTTTTATAATGGATGCAGAGCAACATTGCATGGATGCCATAACTAAACTAGATTGTGTCTCCTTCATAGATATAGTCAGCATACACGATTAAGATGAAAACACTTTTGATAATCATAATTTTAGTAATGGATGCAGAGCTACATTGAGCGAATACGACAATTTATTATATAGTGTGTCCTTCACTGAAATATACAAACGTATAACATTAAGAAGAAAACAGTTTTGATAATAGTAAATTTTAGTGATGTGTACAGAGTTATATTGAATGAATCCGACAACTAAATTAAAGAAAACAGTTTTGATAATAGTAATTATAGTGATGTATGCAGATCTATATTAGAGGAATACGACAAATAAACTAGATAGTGTGTCATTCATTAAAATAGAATAACCAAACTTGTAATAATAATAATATATATATATATAATATTTACTCAGTTAAAGTAAATTTTCCTTCTAATTTGATGATCAGAGAGCGAAGTTCCAATTCCCGTTGGGTTCGTTATTTTCTCTTAATCGCAAAATGTCCTTGGGAAAGTTATGAGTCCGCATTTTTTTCTTCCAAACACGCGAACAAGAATAACGAGAAAATTATAATCTAAAAAAAAAAAGAAGAAGTATAAGAAAACGAATTAATTAATCATTCATTCAAATTTGATGATGCTGTTAAGATTCAATATAGAAATTTATTGTACAGTGTTGTAAATTTCGTTTGTGGGTTTTACAATTAATAATCAATACATTTTTAGGTAAGGTGATTGTTCACATTTGCAGATTAGTGACCACATGGTCAAAAATTTTTAAAAGGATTCATGCAACGGTCTCAAGAATATCCAAATATTAATCAAACAGAAAATATGGTGTTATGAAGTAAGGAAATTGTTTGGATATCTATGGAGACTGGTGTAAGTAATGTTAAAGTAAAACGTGTAGAGAAGAACATATGTTTTTCTACTGCTTATAAATTTTGGATTTTTTATGGAGAAATTATTATTATGCACTTATTTCGTTTATCATTAATCATATTTAGGCTAAATATTATAAACTGACACCATATGCAGCATATATACATATTCATATAGCATTAATAACACATCAATATTGGTTTGTTAATAGCGATTTTGTTGTGACAATATTAACTGATAGCATAAACTCTGAAACAGCACATGGAGAAACCATGCATACATAGAGACATAGATAGAACAAAACTGATATATATATATATATATATATATATATATATATATATATATATATATATATATATATATATATATATATATATATATCAGTCTTGTTCTATCTATATATATATATATATATATATATATATATATATATAAAGAGAGAGCAAATAACATTACAAACATTTTAGAGTTCCATGAAAATAAGTGGATACAACGTTCAAAAAAAAAGCACTATCCAGACGGGCTTAATCACGAATTTAACAATATAGAAAGTAATAATATATGACCCCTCAAATCAGGGCGTACCCACATTTCTCACCCACACAAGACAGACAGGCTTACGGAGGTGTTGAGGCCTCACACTTATACACACACCCACACGAATATACACGCTTACACACATCATACTCACTCACTCTTTAAGAACCAAATAACACACACACACACTTAACAGAGACACATCCCCTCTACAGGAACCAATAAAACTGCCAAACTGACCAAGGGAATTCAGAGCAGCATGAATCCATCCAGTTCTTATCTTAAATAACAACTTAAAAGAAACTGTTTGACCAACACAAGGGCTGACCAAAATTCATGTTAAATAAAATAAAACAAATGAAGATAAAAAAGTTCATTTTCTCCATCAAGACATTCATTTCTGTAGTTCACTGCTACCAGAAAGCAGAAAATCATTTTTTTCCTGATGATGCGAATGTTGGCCAAAAGTAATCGAGGAATCTAAATGAAATATTAATAAAAACGAAAGAATATTAATATACAACCCAGTTTGTCTGAAGATTTTAATTTTTTAATATTTTTTATTGTTCAATATATATATATATATATATATATATATATATTTTGATATATATATATATTAATATATATATATTTTGATATATATATGTGTGTGTGTATGTGCGTGTGTGTGTGTGTGTGTAGATAGATAGGACCAAGATCACATAGATAGATATAAACAGACAGAGGTAAATAGATAGATAAATAGATAGATAGATAGATAGATAGATAGATAGATAGATAGATATCAACAGAGTGAGATTGGTAGATGTCAACAGAGATAGATAGATAGATAGATAGATAGATATATAGATAGATAGATAGATAGATATGATCAAGCTGAAATACATAAATCTCTAGACAGGAATAAAAAAAACTCAGATATGTAGATAGGATAGGACAAAGACGATATAGATAGATAGATAGAACCAAGATAAGATATATATATATATATATATATATATATATATATATATATATATATATAGATAGATAGATAGATAGATAGTTGTAAAATTGTTGAAAAGAATTGACAGATGTCATGACAGAGTTAGATAAAATTTCATACATGATTTGGCTGCAGTCTGACCAACAAAGTGACGTATCGCCAGCTTTTTTGTGCAATCATTTCAAAATAGCGATATAGTGACTGCCTCGATGCAACATGTAAGCGATCAATCATTTTATTCTTACAATCATGGAAGTGTGCATCAAGTAATGAAATAAAATATATAAACCTACTCCCTGAGAAGGTACAAACGTATTTGAAGTCAGTCTTCGTTGTGACAAGTACTTTTAAGTGGTAAACACTATTCAGAGTGACTACAAGTATCAACGCCCGTATTTTAGTGATATCCGAACATGTCTTCTATACAAACCAATCGCTTGTTCAACTGAAATGAAGGCCGGGTCATGCGTTCAGTTATAACCCGAGTTGAGATTTCACAGAGGAAGAGATGAAAGACAAAAATGGGTTCCAAACAATTCAATAGAAACTGAAATCTGAGGCGGAACATGTCTTATTTATTATCCCACTGCCTTTTTGAATCGAACGGAATTTCCTTATATTTCAAGACTGTATCTTGAAAGATTGGCTTTTTGAGAGTAAGCAGATGATACTATTCATCGATAAATAACATTGTCAGCCCGAAAAAAAACAAACTTTCTGTACATTTTTACTGAAGCTAAAGGACAGAAACACTAGTCTGCTGATCTATCTTTCACTTAACATTGGACTTGAAGTTCTTTTTTATACACTAGAATATTTTACAATGTGTATTAAAAGATATTGTATATCTTAATAAGAAAATAATTAACAGTAATTTTAACAAGGGTAGCAAAAGCTTTGGTAAGTTACTTAAGCAACAAAAGAAGCACGTTTGCAAATGTCTGTTTTAGTGATTAAATAAAGTCGTAAAAGAAAGCTGGAAGAATGGACTAAATGTCAACAAGAGAGTATATATGGTCGATAACACGAGAGGCAGCCCAACATGGGAACCATAAATTGGTGACATCCAAATCAGGCAAGTATACGAAATATCTGGAAATTCATATAACAGAGGACAGAATATATGGTATCGAAATTCGAAGACGCATTGGTAAAATAGATATTAAGAAACAGAAGAATTTCGTTAGAAACGAAAAAAAAAAAACAGTTTGCTGAACAGCTAGGCAATATCAATTCTCACCTTCATGGCAATTAATGTTAGACAATTTCTTCATAAATAAAAGAGAAACGTCGGGCAACAGAAATATGGTCCTACAGAAGGATGATGAGAATAACAGAAAATATAAAAAATTAGGAATTTTTGAGAAATATAGGATTTAAAATTTCACATTTTCTTAGGATCAGAAAAGAAGACATTTGAAATTTGTGGCATTCATAATGAGGAAAGAGGGCTCTGAGAACTTGACACTTACAGGGCATCTAGAAGGAGAAAACAGCTAATGATAAGAATTAGAAAAAGAGTAGTAGTAGTAAAAATAGTAGTAGTAGTAGTAGTAGTAGAAGAAGAAGAAGAAAAATTAAAATAGAAGAAGAAAAAGAAGAAGAATGAGAAGTAGAAGAAGAGGAAGAGAAAAGAGAAGAAATATAATATGAAAAAAGAGGAGGAGAAAAATGAGAAAGAGAATGAGAAGGAGAAGAATTAGAAGGATAACACGAAGAAGAAAGAGAAAAATGGGAAGAAGAATGGCCCTGAGTAAATGGATGGAGAGTATCCCACCCAGAAATGATTCCCAAATAACGGTAAGACATTAGTAGCAATGGTGTTTTTAACAATCTAGTATCTAGGTTTATGTGGAAGATATTTCTGCCGTACCCTGTATGAAGCGGCAATTATTGCTTAGTGGTAGGCAGGATAAAAAGTTATTTCGAAGTTTGATTAATCAAGTCGTAAAAGGAGACGTGCCATTTAGAAGAAGAAGAAGAAGAGGAAGAGGAGGAGGAGGAATAAGACTGAGAAGGAGATGTAGTAGAAGTAGAAGAAGAAGAAAGAGAAGAAGAATGGGGAGAATGAAAATAGAATTAAAATTAGAAAGAAAGGAAAAAGAGGACAAAGAATCTGAAAATTACAAGAAAATGAAGAAGAAAGGAAATGTGAAAATGAATGAAAAGAAGAAGAAAAATAAGAAGAAGAATGAGAAAAAAAGAATGCGAAGAAAAAGATGAATGATAAGAATAAAAGAAAGAAGGAAAAAAATTAGAATGAGAAAAAGAAGAAAACGAATAATGAGAAAAAGAATGAGGACAAGAAAAATGAGAAACGGAAGAAAAGAAGAAGAAAAAGAAGAAGAAAATGAGGAATAAGAAGAAGAATGAGTAAAAGAAATTAGAAGAAAAAAGTAAAAGAAAAGAATGAGAAAAAAGAATGAGAAAAAGAATTCTAAAAAGAATAAATAGAAAACTAAAAGAAGATGAAGTAGAATGAAAAGAAGAAGAAAAATAAATAGAAGAAGAAGAAGAAGAAGAAGAAGAAGAAGAAGAATGAAATTAGAAGAAGAAAAAAGAAGGATGAGAAGGAGAAGAATTGAAGGAGAAAGGAGAAGAAGTATAATGTGAAAAAGAAGTAGGAGAAAAAATGAGAAGGAGAAAGAGAAGGAGAAGTAATAGGATGATAACACGAAGAAGAAAGAGAAAAATGACAAGAAGAATGAGCTGCAGAAGAAGAAGAAAAAGAAGAAGAAGAAAAAGAATGAGAAGAAGAATAGAAATGAGAAAGAAAAGAAGGATAATCAAATGAAGAATAAGATAAAGAAAAAGATATCTTAGTTACTTCGCTTTTTGTGTTGAGTATTTCCTTCGTATTAATTTTAGTTGTTTTATCCCGAGGACGTTTAATAAACAGCAAGAATACCTTCCCCAAATCAATATGATAGACGTTCGATGCCTGGTAAATACTCAAAAGGTCTTGAAATCAATAAAAAAAAACGTCTCAGAATTTTAGAAAGCTTATCCGAAACAAAATAGAATTGTATTGGGCTGCTATTTCTTTTAATATGATTTCTCAAACATATTTGGGCAGGGTATGGCACCTTGCATTTATTGGAAATATTCATAGAAATATGAGTTAATTTTTTCTTATTCAGTTTATTAAACAGGTTGTTAATTTTTTTTTTCTTTAAAACGGAAAATAACTGGGTTGAAAATAATTCACTAAGAATGTACTAAACGATCCTAAAGCAAGAAAAAAAAGAAAGAAAAGGGAAGAAAGGAAAGATAATAACAAAAGGGGGGAAAGAAAGGAAAAGACATGATATCAAAACAGGCCGCTGGGTGTGGACCAGATGTCGGTCAGAGCCTCTGACTGACCTTAATTTTTGTTGAAAGAATAGAATTGAGATATCGGTCGCGAGCGCTGACCGACATTTTCGTAGAAGAATTCTTATCAAAATAACGAAAGGTAACTTTTAAATTAGAATAATAGAAATGAATTTTACTTTAGTCAGAGAAAGTGTCTTTGGGTTGGGGAAGTGACTGGTGAAAACGATATACGGAATTGAGAAGAATTGGACACCCACGTTAAGAAAGTAGAGATATTTCGACCTAGATAATTAAGATTCTCGGCTATCAGGAAAAACAAAGAGGTAAAAAAGAAGAGCAATTGTTTTGGACCACGGAGGGCGCCAGGAAGGCGGAAAGATCCTTTCTAAAAAAAGTCAAGACTAATTAGCAGCGGGCTGTTTGACAAAGTCCAGGTGAGAGGGCAAGGATTGTCATTTTGCGTACGCAAAAAAGGTGCGAAATCGGATTTTTTTTTTTAAAACCAAACGATGTAACCACACCCGCCAACAAAAAGGGAGAGGGTGTTCGGTCAAAACAATTGGTCGAATACAATCACGTGACCGCGGAAGAAGAAGGAAAGAAAACCTCGATCAATAACTGTTGGACGAGGCGGTCACGTGGGCTGCGGAAAAGAAGAGAAAGAAAGGTTCGATCGGGGAACGATTGGTTGAGAGCGATCACCTGACATGAGAGAGACTAAGAGAAATAGATATGCGCCGCCCCCCAAGAACTGTGAGAAAGTAGGGGTGAAAACAATAACGATAATGGAAAGTCAAAATTTACGGCTTTTGAAATTATCGAGTTGACGCCGACCGACCCACCCCGGTTTGTTGCGGCGTCAATATAAGCAGGACCCCAGTCGGCAGAAATCAGTTGGAGCTGAAGTTGGAGCTGAAGTTGAGTTTTGGAGTTAGGTTTGCAGTTCACCTCGGACGACAGAAGAATCCTCGAAACAAGAAATTTCCAATAGTTGAAGACAAGAAATCTTCCACCGAATTGAAGCAAGAAATCTTCCACTGAATCGAAGCAAGAAATCTTCCACTGAATCGAAGCAAGAAATCTTCCACTGAATTCAAGAAATCTTCCACTGGGTTGAAAACAAGAAATCTACCAGTCTAAACAAACGAAGAAGAAGAAATACAGTTCACGTCGAAGAGAAGAACCAACTGCGAATGATCGATAGAATTAATGTCGAAAACCACACTCCGACAGAAAGTAGGTAATTCGACATTTTTCTATTGTGTGATAGAAGCTTGGTGCCATAGTCCACAAGTATGGGTCGGGAAATGAGAACAATTTTGTTTTTATGTAACGGACTTTAAGATATAAAAGGTTGTTACCCTTTTATCAGCAAATTTTGTTTAGTGTCGTGAGTTTTTTTTGTTTTATTTGTGTTTTGCCACCCCCGTCGGACTCGACTTGTATCGGCCCAAATTCCTTGTCTGTCTAAGATCTAAACACAGCGTGGGTAGACAGACCGGAGATCGGTATAGTTGCTTTAGTGACCAGGTATTGGAAGCGAGTCGGGAAGGGCGAGGCTGGTGATCATCTGACCAAAGGGTTGGAGCGGCACGCTTGGACCCAGGAGGAGCGACCAGGAGGAGCGACGTCATTTAACCAAAGGATCCGACACTGGGCCAGGTGTGTAACCGTCACAAGGGTCATATTTTTACAATACTTGCTCAGATTTAAGGATGTTTTATGACTGTAATAACTCTGTTTGAAATACCAATCTCTATAATCTATATATACTACAGAGGGGGAACTAGTTAACTTAAACTGTGCTTTATAGATAATATTCTTTAAGCATTGAACATTTAGGGGGAAAATTTCCCGATTAATGCAGTTACAATTAGATGCATTTGTAGCTGGTGTATTATTCAAAATCTTTAAATATTTCGCTCAATAAAACTGTCAATGATTTTAAAATTTTTCTAGTGATGATTTTTTTATATTCATCGGCAACAAGGAAATGATTGTCCAATATGCAGAAAAGAACTATTCTTTCCGTTTTATATTATATCAACTTGTGTGACGTCACCCCGGCCTGTCTGCCCCGTTGCCGTCCTGTCCTGAGACGACCAATGTGACTTTGTATTGGTCGCGGAACTAAATGTGACGTTCTAACCATTGGCTGCTTTGACTTCTAGTCTAACCTACCCACGTTATGATTTGATCTTAGGTAGACGAAATCAATCAGTCGCCGGGCCGCAATGCAAGCCGAGTCCGAGCAAAGGTAACACCGCACAAGTATATGTAAAGGAAAATAAAGTAACAGAAAATAAAATAACAACTCGAAAAGTTCCAACGTGTTAAAAAAAAGAATAACAAATATTTTTATATCTGGTTGCTGAATACAGGATTGCATCTTTCTCCCAAACCGCTAATATTGATACGTGACACTTTGCGTTTGTTAGGCAAGTCTTAACATCTTAATTTGTTTTTTCAAGAAAGTGGGTTTTGGTGTATCTTCAGGCGATATTCGTAAAACTTGTTTTGGTGGTGCGAGTCGAAGAAATTCGAGCATTCGCTACTCCCAGTACAGAAAATTAGCGAGCATTTTGACTGAAAAGCAGTTGGAGAGCAATCGTCCTGAAGTGACACGAATCTGAGAAAGAAAACTCTGAATTAAAAACCAGCCTAAAGTGGGTTAGACTACGTCAGGCTATCTTGCCTTAGGCACACCGCTGCTACTATAGATGCAACAAATGGTGTGCATCTTCGAAACTAGTAGGCACACACACACACATACACACACACACACACACACACACACACACACACAGAGCAAATGCTGACAGGGCAAATCAATGAAATACACCAAACTGCTACGCTAGTTGGGCCTTCCGTGGTCGGTACACTACGGACTATTTCCAGGAAGCTTTCTTTCCTCGAAAGATCTCTTGAGAGTGCGTCAATAGTAGCACTGCTTTGATCAGCTCATTTGAAAAGGAAGATCTTTTGCTAGTAAGCTGCTGGTAGGATTTGAGACATGGCCATCATCTCATGACCGAAATAATCGAAGAGGATATCTAATCATTAATAATAAGGAATGCAAGATGGACAACATAGAATATATTTTAGAGAATAAATGGCATAATACAGACGGCGGTTTTGAAATTCGAACGGATAATTCAATCCAAGCCGAAAACATTGACTTATTTATTATAAATAGAATAAAGAAGTATTACTTAAATGTTCTTTCAGAAGAAAACAGAAAATAATCTGGACATAAAATTGATGTATATGTTCATCGTCTTTTAGCACTTGGAGATCTATATATAAAATTCTATAAATTCCCTTAGTCAATCCATCCGTCACGCCTTCTAAAATAGCCATACATTGACTGATCGAAGCCAAATTTGGGGGTTCAAAATAAAACTGGTTTTTACAGGGGGCGTAGATTAGTACAATACATTTTCAATGATTTTTTGAATAATTGAAAGTTTTATTATTTAACATACAAAATACTGCCACTATTTTAAAAACAATATAATGATTAAAGTAATCAATATTTATTTAATAATAATGCAATATTGTGTTTTGCATATCTTTTCTTTAAGGTTTTATATACAAGAATCCAGTTTCCTTCTCGCTCTGCATTTCCGGAAACAAATCACAAGGCGAAACGCTTCAGAAAGTTGGAATTTGTCTTTAGAAATAAATATTTACGCATGACATGTTACATTCTCAAGAGAAAGAAATCCTTAAAAAGGAGAAGTGAATAAAATAAGTTTTATAATGTACCATGAAGTTCTATAAAATTGAATTAAATTACTAAACCGCGAAGTAGTTTTTTTGTCAAATTAACTAACTTTTGTAATATATCAATATTTATAAATTACTTTTAAGATAGTGGAGACATTCATTTAAATATGAGAAAAATAAATACATTAATAAAAATTGAATTCATTAGAAACAAAACAATTATAAAAACAAACTAAAACAAAGGTCTTAATTTTCTGGTTCTATGCTGCCTCTCTATTTCATTAAAACGTAGAATTCCGATCATATCTTTAGAGACATTATATACATAGGAGATGATCTGATTCTTAAAGTGATTAATATTGTTTCTAATAATCTAGTTACTTTCTAAATTCCTATCTGGATAAATATGAATTTCAGCGAGACTCAAACTTTTAATAGAAGAGAAAACCGTACACCAAGGGATATTTTCCCGGTGAACAAATTCAAATTCACCCATTTTTGCAGTTACAAGCAGCAATTATCATATTACAATGTACACAATAGATCGAAGTCATTAATATTTTACGATGAGAAAGGCATTTCTTGCAGAATATTTTACGGGTATAATTATAGTTGTAATATCTGTAAGCATTCAGTGATGAAATTTATTACCAAGGGCAGTTACTAAGAAACGTATTGCCGCCAAATTAATCCACTTCGTCTGAAATGTGCTGCCATTTTGAAATTAGCGTTAATTATGGTTTAATTTCACGCGCAGTTTTCAATGAAAAGTTTAGCACTCCAATTGAAAACTCTAATCAAAAAACCGCTCGAAAATTAATAGCTTTTTAAATGATGAAAGTCAGCTAATTTATTGGAGATTTAGGAATTTCCAGGGAATATAATTTCGTAAAATAATGTTATGCAAGATATTGTTTTTTTTTCTTTTAACAGAAAGAGAGCCAGCCAGCCAGTCAGTCAGATAGATAGTTAGATAGGAACAGACTGAGATACAAAGAAACTTAGAGAAACATAGAGAATATATATATATATATATATATATATATATATATATATATATAGAGAGAGAGAGAGAGAGAGAGAGAGAGATCCTGCTAGTCAGTCAGATAGATAGATAGATAGATAGAAAGATAGAAATAGGTAGAGATAGATAACGAAGAGACTACTGAAGATAGACAGATAATGAAAAGGTGAGATACAGATATATATATATATATATATATATATATATATATATATATATATATATATATATATATATATATATATATATAAGAGAGAGAGAGAGAGAGAGAGAGAGAGAGCCAGTCAGCTAGACAGATAGATAAATAGATAATGATCAGACTGAGATAGATAGATAGATAGATAACGAACAGACTGAGATAAAAAGAAACAAAGAGATGTATATATATACTAGCAGCATGGCCCGGCGTTGCCCGTGCTTGATTCAAAAATCGTACGACTCATACAGCAATCGTTATCACTTCACTTAAAATATTTTTGCCCTTCCTTGCCTTTAAAGGAGTGCCCTTTGACGTGCTGATTTTGTTACATGCCTTACTTCTTGCCTATCTCACACTTTTTTCTAAGCTCTATACTAAACATTAAATCTGCTACGAAAAAAGAACTAAACAAAATGAACACAAAACGATCAGCTTTAAAAAAAGGATTCGTAACTGGAAAAACCGAATGAAAAAAGAATGTTAACAACAAATACTTTTTCACATACAACCCAGTTCTGCGGAATCAGAATCAACGTTGAGTTTAAGCAAGCGAATGAGCTAATTGGAGTAAAGTGTCATGTAGATTTTAATTTTTCCCACTTGTGACGGATGCAGCTATCGATTTTTTTGCATGCTGGTTAACATTCGTGTCAGTCAGCTGTTGGCTCTCACGCTGGCCAATAGAATCTTCCTGCCTATTTTTGGCAGCCAGCTAAGCATGAAAAATCGATTATTTCCACTATCGATGCGAGTTGGGAAATGCAAAGTCGGTCTTGGCCTTCCCGCTAACTTGGAGCATGTGCATGCAAATTTTGTTGCAAATCCGTCGAAAATTGCGGCCGTGCATTCGTTACACACACACACACACACACACACACACACACACACACACACACACACAGATCCTGCCTTTTATAGATAGAGATATAGAGAGATAATTATAGACTGACATGTGAACTGAGTGAGATGTCTAAACAGATATAAAGATGAATATATATAAAGATAAATGAGATAAATCCGAATGCATACCATAGTATCTTAAAATCCTTTTCCTTTTTCTCCCCGTCTGTCTGCCTGTCTGTCTATCTCTCTCTCTCTCTCTCTCTATATATATATATATATATATATATATATATATATATATATATATATAATATGTCTTAAAACGAATTAAATTAACACTAAAATATTTGTTTTAAATCAGAATGGTAATGTTTCTTAAAAAGTGCTAGAAAAATCAGTTGCAGTGAGTATTTTCTAGCCCAATTTAAAAAGCAACCTAAGGAAACATTATTAAAATGTTGAAGGTATAATCATATCATCATCGAATGCAGGTTCAATACATGGCTAGCAAATTATTATTGGAGGTTTAGAGATAAATTAAATAAGTCCGGCAATTAAATGAAGTGAATTATTGGTAAAATAAATTAAATGGAAGGTTGGATATATGGCTCCTGTGCCAGGAGGAAACGTTGGACATTGCAACATAAAAACGTGGTGTTTAATGACAGAACCGAAAGTATGGTAAAAATAGGCGCAGGAAAAAGTTGACTTTAAAGTTATACGAACGTAGTCGAAGTTGGTAAAAATATATATATATATATATATATATATATATATAGCAATCGATCCTTCATTTATGCATTTATGCAAGTTTTTATTTTCCGAATACGGTTAGCACATTGTAGCCTTGTTCGTAGTTAATATTGTTAAGAGTTAAAGCATCCATTATTTTTAATCTTTTTTTTACAAGTGGATGAGGTTATTATGTTTGTGTTTTCTACTAGTATGTTTCAAATAGTCTGGTAAGTTTGTGTTTATATTTCAATGGGTTCTAATAGAGCTATGGTGAGACAGGTGTAAGGTAAAGTGTCTGGATAGGCATGTAGTTGTGTGACCGATGTAATTATTTATGAGTTTGGTTTGATCAGGAACACAGTTTCTTTAAGTGGCATTTGAACTCATAGATAATGTTTGTTCGTTCTAATTTTGACTTAGCTGATGTGTTGTTGTTTTTGAGGATAAGGTTAGCTGTCTTAAATTTTTTATAGTAGACAATGAATTTGATTTTTTTATTCGGGTCAGTTAGGGTCGTGTATTTCTTTATAATATTTCTAAGTGAAGATTCGTCTTGTTTGTAGTTAACGTGTATTTGGGTTTTGTAGAAAATATTTATGTAATTTTTGACTGTACGTTCACTATTGTTGTTATTTACTTTGGAGAGAAATAGTCTAATTTGGTGGCCAGGTGGTTAGGGAACACATTGTTAATTAGTGTCTGTTTTACATTATTGAGTTCCATAAAGTTCAAATGCCCCTTAAGGTACTGTGTTCCTTATCAAACCGAACTCGGAAAATAAAAAACACCTGTATAACACACTAAAGCATAAGAACAAGGCACACATTCAATTAAACTGAAAAATAAAATCATCCTTGATAATGGCTAAAAGTATAGCCGAAAGCGCTCGGAACTAAAGAACATACGGACAGTTTTAACACCCTCTCTGTCCAAAAAACGAAGACAAATTAAATAAAAACCTTAAACCGTAGTACCTTGTCTGTCGTTTTTAATGAAACACACACACACACACACACACACACACATGTGCAGTAATTATGATAAGCATTTAATATCAATGAGAGAATGAAACCCAGGGTTACAAACTTATATCCATACAACTGAAATATATATATATATATATATATATATATATATATATATATATATATATATACACACTGAGGTCAATACCAAGACGCAATAATCTGTTTAATGCTTCTACACACACTTCTTCATCTGTGTTGGCCTTTAATGTCTACTTTTATATTTACATACACAGCCTATTTTATCATCTATCTATCTATCTATCTATCTATCTATCTATCTATCTATATATATATATATATATATATATATATATGTGTGTGTGTGTGTGTGTGTGTGTCTGTGTTTGTTCTGTGTGTGTTTTGTGTATGTGCGCGCATGTGAGTCTGTATGTGTGCGCGTGTGTGTAGTTACGACTTCTGAATAAATTAAGAACTTTTCACGACTATAATTATAGTTCTTCATTGCATCGGTTGTAGGCTTTGATAAAACCTTAGCAAAATTGTGTTATAAATGTACAAGAAATTTTGGATGATAAAAAAAATTCCCTTCCTAAATCATCGACATTTTTTTTATGAAAAACTAAGTCTGATGATCCACTGTCCTTTAAAAGTGCTGTGGTGAAATAATTTATTACATGGAACTTTAAAGTGGTCTGTTTTTTATTTAAATTTTATATATATATATATATATATATATATATATATATAATATAATATAAATAGTTATAGGGAAAATAACGGATAAAAAAGAAAGAACTCAGACCATGAAATTGAGGCGAAAAAAATCGTCCAGAATTCTAGCTCAGAGTCCAAAGAAAAAAAAACCTCCAAAAGGAGTAACGCAAAAGTAACTACGTAAACCTAAATATGAACCAAAAGAGCCAGGTAAACCTACCTAGGTTTCACCTATACGGATTGTCAGGGTCAAAGGTCAGTTGACCCTGATTATCTGTATAGGTGAACCCTAGGGAAGGTTAACCTGTCTCTTTTGGTTCATATATATATATATATATATATATATATATATATATATATGGTTTACCTGGTTCTTTTAGTTTCATATATATATATATATATATATATATATATTGACCGATTATCCGTATAGGTGAATGTATGTATGTATGTATATATATATATATATATATATATATATATATATATATATATATATATATATATATATATGTAGGGAGAGAGAGTGAGAAAGGACAGATAATAGAAGGACAATTTGTTTGCTGAGGTCCTCAGACTTACCACGGAGCCTTACACCCAAGGGCTTTGAGGAGGTAGTGCTTCCTTGGTTGAAGAGAATGGCTGCAGGAAAACCCTATATCTGGCAACGGGATTCTGCACCATGCCGCACAAGCAAAAGAACCCAGATTGAAGTCAATGGGAATTTTATTAAATAAATTTACTCTTTAGCAGTTAAAGATATTTTGTGTAATTTTGGTAAACATATCTGTTAAAACGAGATGTCAGTATTATTTTCATTTTTGCGCCATTTAGACGTCAATTTATTCATCGCACCCTCTACATATTTATGCACGTGCCTGTATGAACACATACGCATATATATTTTCATATACAGACGCTAAAACGCACGAATACAGGCATTATGACAAGATGTAATAGCGAATAAAGAAAAATGATTTTAAGATTACGCGACTCAGGAAAACACTTTAGGGATGCCGGAGAACTCATTTTCCGGTAAGTTATGACTGAAGAAAACAAAAATGGCTATAACCTAAAAGATGTCTGTATTGTTGACTGGTGGTATATTGAAATTGAAAGTTTTCATTAAGTGGCTCTTTTTCCTTTTTCAAGATGTTCATCTTAGTTCCTCTACACATGAGCACATTTCAAAAATCTGTAAAATATTTGGTAAACGACAAACTTTCTTCTTCGGCTCGACATCTCTATGATTTCCAACATTGATTCAGTTATTGATCTTTATTTCATTTCTCTTATTCTCTCTTACTTCGAGCCATTTTGCCTTTTTCATTCCTTGCCGCCGTGTAGATATTGATTTTCTAGAAGAACAGTTTCATTTTATTCAAAATATATTTATTATATTATATTTTAAGGTAGATAGCCAATCTCATGATTTATACTCTCTACTAGAAGCAACGATGAATGACCATTTTGTCATTAGTTTAATGGGTTATATCAGCTCTTGATTTGATTGCATTAATTTTTGGCAGCAATTGCCATTTTCATAAAAGGCTTTCCATTTTTTATACAGTCCAAAAGTGAGGTGATGAATTATTTTATACAATTCCTTTCTCACAAATGAGACGTCACAAACTTCTCCCTGTTACATCGCTATTTTGTTACATAGTGTTCTACACATTCCTTAATTCCACCAGTCCTAATCACTGCGGCTAAGAACGCCATAACACGACTTTTGAAGCAAACCACCCTCATTGCCTCCGTATTTCACCGGTAAGATGAGAGTTTTACTTGAGCCGCATTTTCACACCAACCACTGACTTGTCGAACCGACTCCCAAGCGGATGCATCTCCTATCAATATAAACTTAAACTCTTCAAGTCTAGGCTTAACTGTTATATTCTACATATATCCGCATCAACTGTGCCTCTTTCTCTTCCTCTATCTCTATGGTTTATTAACCAAACAATCTTTCACATAGACCCTTGTGCAAATTAATTCAGACAAAACGGATAATTCCGTCATTATTTAACTTTTTTCGTCTTTTTCCAATGAAACGTGACCCAGTGCACATGTTAGTACTTTGTATGTCCATTCCATGAAGTCATTACTTGCAGACTGAACACGGATTCTCGACTGAATTTAAATAAAGAGAGTTTTAGGTTAAGTCTATAGTACTTTGATTTGCTCACTGGTAAGGCATGCTAATGTGTTCGTGCAGTGTTACAATTTTCGTAGGCTTCCTTGGAGTAAAGTCCATCGCACACAATGGACGTAGGACAACTAATTGAGAGTCGAGACAATAGTGTCTAAGCATGATAAAAATCTGATGCAATCACGGATGACGCAATATTTTTCAAGGCTAAACAAATTTCATCATACACTCCGAAAATAGTTTCATATTAATGCACATCACTGCAAATGACATAATCCGAGGGAAAAATACAAATCGATTACACCCTGTCACTCCAGTGGGTCGAAAACTGACCGTATGGCAGAAAAGAAGAGGAAACCTAAGCGGTTATTTCAATTAATGTGTACAAGGGTGTAGGTTTTGTGCTGAAATGTTTTAGAAGTACAAATAAGTTATTGAAAATTTTCATATTTTAAAAGCAAATTATAATAGTCACATAAACAAATAAACGTTTATGCAATTGGAATATGTTTTCTCTAA